TTAATATCTCCTATATCTCATCCTACAGCTATAATTCTAGTTTTCTGGATTTACTTTTGTACGAGAAGGTAAAAAAGAATATTGAAGTCTTATACGATATTATAATGAAAATAGTTGATAACAACATAAATCATTTATATTTAATATTAATACATGTAGAATTTTATGCTTAAATATATGTATATATGCATATATGCATGCATGTGTGTAATTTACATTACATTCTTGACATTTTAACCATTCTATGATGTTACAACATCGTTTTTAGGTAGAAATTGACTGACGCAATTTTGTAAAATTTATTATCGTAAACTTTTCGAAATATAAATATTTCGAATGTTAATTGTAAAATATTGCCAATATTACTTATTAATTACTATTATTATTATTATTATTGCCAATATTACAGTTAACATTTGTGATACATCTGCATACTAAGGTTCTTATGCTATTAAAATTAATATTGAAACGTGTTCATTGTAATGACTGCCTTTGTGTCAAATATTTGTGTAGTCTGAACAGATTATTAATATTAAATTATGACCAAAATGTGCACTGTTGCGCTACCCGAATGGAGGTAAGTGAAAAACCCCTGTAGCAAAATTATTTTTCGAGTCACTTGTAGATTTTTATTATTAAACTGCCATTGTGTTTTTTTTTTTAGTTCTACAAATAATTTTGTGAATTTTACTCTCTGGTTTAGAGATCCAGATTCAATTGTATTAAGAGAATTTCCTTTAATTATTGTTAAAATATAATCGAATATTTTCAGTTCATATGGTTCAACTACATTCACAGTCTATATCTTTTATTGAATCACTTAACTGAATTTATTGTTTTGTACTCAAAAAAATTGAGTATGTACTGTATGAATTTGTATTTTGAAAAATATTATTAAAAATTATTATTTATGCAAATGTACTGCAAAAATGAATGCAAATTGTATGTATATAAACGTATATATGCGTTTATTATTTAAGATTATAATAACATGAAAAAGATTTTAGAATTATTGTGATTATAATCTGCTCATAATTCAAATTTATATATAAGTAAACGTGGCGCGGTATTCTATCGACATTTTCATATTTATTTATGCGCCTTTACCTTCTTATATTCCGTATTTTTTCTTTTTCTCTAGGTAAAATCGCGGTGAACCTTTAATTTTTGTTTTTTATTATTTTGTTTACAGTCTAATTTATTAAATTTTAATATTAAGTGTAGGTATATAAAATAAAGTAAATCTGTAGAATTTCTTGCACATAGAATTTTTCAAAAGAAATTCTTAAGAAATTTTTGCAATTTAATTTTTTTATGCATTTGCAACGATATTGTAAGAGTCCATGTCGGTTTGATTTTACAACTTAATATAAATTATAACAATGGTTATAATTTCATAAAATTATATTTGAACCTTAATTATTCATATTTTATTCTTCTCTATCTTTCGTTTTCGCTAGTTTTGATAGGATTTTCTACTCTAATGATTTCTGATAGGTTAAGTTAGATATCGTCTCGGTATTTGCGAATCTTTTTAGATTATAGTTGTGTACCATTTCCCATAGCAATTCTTTGAATAAATACATGATAGTATTTATTATTGGCATTAATCTATAAGTAGTACTTAAAACACATTTACAGATTTGAATTATGGTTCCATACTTAAGTATATATGTATATATACAATATGACATAATTGAAATAAGCACAATGTAATTAAAATGTTTATTAATCTTATTAATTCTAGTCTGGCACTTATTTACGGACATAACATCCGTAAATTATTTAAAAATCCCAATTAAAATATAAAAAAAAAACTTGTTAAATAATTTTTGGTGGGAAAATACTAATTGTGTACAACATATGTATAAATGTATGTATGTAATTTTAATTTTTTTAATTTAACTTATTAAAACAAATGATCGTTATCAATTTCTTGTAAAAATTGTCTATCACAGTTTATTGATCTAATATAAAATGAAAAAATTTTACTGTCTAATTTGATAAATTTAAATATTCCTTATAAAGATTAAGTATGTATGTATGTATAAGTAAAAGACAATAATTAATTCTACTTTCAGATTATTTTCCGTTATAAGAATTTCAATTTCAATTTGCGCTTGTATATGAGCACGTTTTCTTTTTATTGATTATTTCTCTACATGTGCTTTTTTAATCACTATTATTTACTTATTGAGCTGAAAATATAAAATTATACAGATATTTTATGTTGGTATAGATGGTTTCGCAGTCCGTAATTTGAATAATTCACCCAATTAATTTGAATTCTTATAATTATAAAATTAAACCATTGGTTTGTTAAATAGTATATTTGCCTCAATGAACACATTTGCTTTAAAATCTAATGTTCTAATTACTTATATTAGACTCTTAGTATTGTAATATGTTGATTTGTTGCATACTTTTAGGAAAAGAGCAATAATATTGAAAAACGAGCATTAATAGTTCGCTTAAAGTTAAACAGATTGTGGTTACAATATTTTGGGCTGCCGAATTTCAGTTTTCAATTTAAAAATTGTATAGAGATATTAAAATCACATTGAAATTTTCAAAACTCTACTTATGTGTGAATTCTTGCATATTCTTTGAATGAAAGACTCTGCATTACGTCTACGTTTAAACGTTATATATATATGTACATGTATAGACTGATTTTTTTCTAACAATAATTGATCAATTCGACATATTAGAACGGACAGTATGGAATAAATAGTAAAAAATATATATATTCTTCTTAATATGCCGATCATAACAATAAATCGTTTTTTTTTTTAAACTTCCGTTTCTTAAAACGCGCTATTAAATAGTTTTATATGGTTGGAATAGGTCTAACACATACTTATATATACGTATATAATATATATAAATACGTGAAACAGTAGCGGGCCTCTTACAATGTTATTGATTATGGAAATTCATTTTATATACAACATTTATTCATTTAACTTTCAATTCTGTATATTGAAAGGTTACAAATCTTTTGTTTTACACTATGTGCCTAAGTATAGATGTATTTTTTTAATATAGTTTTATAGCGCTCAATAAATAGAGTTGTTAATATTGTTGTATTGAAAAAGTATTGATGAAAAACAAATTAATTAAAAATTCTGTAAAAATTTTGAAAACTAATGGTGTAAGTGGAAAAACCATGACCATGGAATAGATCTATACATGTCAATCACTTATATATGATTGTGTATGTGTGCGTTCTTATGCATATACATATATATAGAAAGTTTTGGTGTACAAGGTTTTATCGAAGAGTTTCTTAATTGGGATATTGAGATATTTGAGCAAAAATATTATTAAATGTGTTTGCAGTAAGGACAATAGTTTTTTAAAAGTATGGTACAATTTTCTAGGTCTTTTAAGTTGCAACTATAAACAACAAAAATGTTTAACTGTAAAAAATCATGCTATATTGAAGCCATTTCGCAGGAACAAACTGGTTGTCTTAGATTATACTGGTTATAACTGGTTGTTTAGATTAGATTAGATAAGATTTCAAGAGTTGGGGGTCACCTAACAGACTGAATAACTGCAGTCTAAAAGACTTTTTTTGACATATCAACTTAGTTAGTCATAATACCACGGATCAACCGTGGAGCGAAATTTCACGAACCTTAGTCGCGTAGCTCTGCAGATGTAGAAGCCGCTTTCTACGCAGGAGTTCACAGAAAATGTTTAACGCCAATTCCTCCTCCTCATGGTAGGATCTGTAAGGCAAGCCCTAACTTGTTAATGTGGCAGTTGAGCCGGCAGTAGCCAGTAAGAAAACCAAGTAACACGCGAACACCGTCTTGTGCCCAGTTCCATTTTTAGAGTTATCCGATTTCCGTTTTTAGAGTTATTTAGAAAATTAGATGTGTTTGATCCTATTACTTAACTGTAGCCTGCTTCATGTAAATAATTTTGAAAATTTATTATTAATTATATGCATAGTATATTACATACATATACGTGTATATAAACATATTCGTGTGTATGAAATTTTTATAAAAGGAAGCAAATAAACAGGAAGAAAACATAATTTTAAAAAAAATACTTTTGTACGTATGTATGTCCGAGGTATACATTACTTATTGTATAACACACGCGTCGATTTAATGTTTTGACATACGTAAATACATACACATGCATAGGTGAGCTTTATGCGTACGTGTATAGTTATTTATTACTTGATTTATTGGGCATATTAATAAATTATAAAAAAAAAGTATTTTCTAGTTAATAAAAAATTAAAATGATAAATTGGCATAAAATGATAAATTGGTTGTTCATAATTTCTTTGTTTACATAATCATCGTTTAAAATTCGTACAATGGTACATTTTATTAATTATTTATTACGATCTCGTTTCTTAATAATTTACAAATTATTTAACTAAAAAATAATTCGACATAAGTTCTAGAAAATATTTTTGTTTTTTGTATATTGCGAGGGGTAGCCAATCATCTTGAATTTAAAACTGTTTTAAAAAATTAACTTTTTCAAAATTTCAAACTATAAATTATATCCGTAAGAAGAATGATACAAATTGTTTCCTTTAAAGCTCAATATCAACCGTATATCGCAATGAAAGTTCACAAATTTAAAATCGGTCTGGTCGATTGATTACGGATTATCACGACACTGTTTATCATTATTTGAGCAGTTTTCGCGTAGAAAGAAAGGGAAACTTGCGTACCTTTATTAAGAGATACAAAAATTCTTCAACGATCCGTGGTTTAAACCCAAAGTTTTTGATTTGTAAAATAATTAAACTCTGTTGTGACTCTAGTCTGCCGAAAATCTTGGAAATTATATTATGATTGCCATACTGAAAATTATACTTATGTACTATATGTCAATAAAGTAAAAAATTTAAAATAAGTAATTCAATTCGATTAATAATTACAAAGAAAATTAATTAATATTAAAATAAATTATTTTTTAATAAAATTTTTAAAATTAATTATTTCTTTCCTTTTCTATTTCAGTTTAATATGCCACCTTGGCTAGTAATAATATTTCAACCGCAAACAAAAATGGATACTTCAAATAATCGATTAAGAAAAGATTTATTATCATCATTATTATCTTCATCATCATCAGCATCATTAACAATATTTAAATTAAATAATTTAGTTTTAATTATAGCATTATTATCAATATTATTATTTAATTGTACTTTATGTAATGGATTACCTTGCCAATCAAATAGCTGGTGGGATTCATTAAATAATCAATGCATTCCTTGTACAGAATGTAATGAAAGTGAAACAATTGTATTAAGACCATGTCAAGTACATCAAGATACAATATGTGGTTCAATACATGATTTAGAAATTGATTATGTATTTTCAGCTAAAACAGAATCAAATTGGAAAGATGTAAGTATATCTACATTATTACTTATATAAAATTATTTAGAATTATAATTAAGTTTCACAACAATTAATCAATAATTAATAAAATAATTGAACAGTTAATTAATTTTTGTGAAATACGATCTCTGATTCAATTAAATTAAATTGATACCATTGATTTCGTTAAAAATACATTGCGTATTTGATTACGTTAAAATTGTTGAGATTAATTCGAGTGGAATCTGTCTATATTTAATAAGTTAGAACAAGGAAAAATTAATTATCATCGAGTTTAATATTTCTTATATTTTGATTACTTCAATTTAGCTGCAAATAAAGTTTTTGAAGAATAAAATTCATAAGCTTCTTTGGAATAAATTTAATTTCCAAAACTTTAACAAAAAACAGTTCAGAGTTCAGGACGAGCTCAATATACTGGGCATTATTTTGGTACAAATTGAAATTTTCTTCCAAAACTGAGATTTCTTCAATCGAATGACTCTTTCATTGGATTTTATTCAACACAAAATAATAAAGTTTTGCGCTTAAATTTTTTTAGAATTTTTGTTTTAAAAATTCTCTATTTATTTTTTCTTTCAATTTCATTGAATAAACACTATTTTTAATTAATTAAATTTTATTTACTCACAAAAAATTATTTTCATTTCTGATTGAAATTGTATTGAAAATTAAAAAAACAAAAACAAAATGTTTATAAACAAATTTTTTGTTTAAATAAATAAATTATGTATGAACGCCCGTTTCAAGGCTAAATAAGTATTCCAAAATTTCAACAAATTTTAAATTGGAATAAAAAATTTTAAATAATTTTTTTTTTAATTACAATTATTGCTTTTTAATAAATTTGAGTTTTATTTACTATTAATTTTTCAGAGACGAAAGGATGGTGAAATTATTAGGCAAGATTATAATAAAAATAATAATGAAAATTTATCAAATTTAAAATTAGAAGATGAAGAATTAGAAGATTGGTGGGAAATGTTCTTAATAGCAATTATTATTATATTTTTATTATTTTTTATATTTGTTGCTTATTTATCATTTCATCATATGAGACGATGGCGACAAATCGAAAGACGATTAGATAGAGGTAAGTTGAATGTATTAATCAGTATATGTATATATAAATGTATATACGTATATGTATGTAAATTGAAATTTATTACAATTTAAGGTAGAAATGGAGTAGCCAGGATATCATTTTTTCGTATATAATAAGGATTTCTTTTTTTAAGTTGTATTCGGTTTGAGAATTCCAATTTGATTTGTGGAATAGCTTTATTCAGTAATATAATTTATATAATTCTAATGGCTGAATAAAAATGTGGATAATGGGTATAGTTTCGCTGAATAAGAAAGTTGTTGTTATAGATCTGCAATTGTAGGAAAACGTTCTTTGAAATTCATATAATTTTTTTAAATACTTTTAAGATACAAATCATAGAAATGGTATTTATTTGATCGAGGTGCTTGTTGAATAATGCATGCCAGTATATCAAATTCGTTAAATTGATAATAGTCATGAATTATTGTATGGCAGCAAATAACTCTTTTACATGCAAATTTTAATTGTAAATTTGTTTTAAATTATTTTTTCATTCATAATGTTAAAATTAATATAATTTTGTATCGGCATACAATATACAGTCATTCACAATCAATTGCAAGCGAATAGAAATTAAGTCATAATTTTCCAAGTAAATTATAAAGTAAACAATTCAGACAAAAGGAAAATCGCAGAAAATCTCAGATAAAACACATTTCATTCATAAGTTTAAATGCTTGCATTACTTTTAGAAAAATAAAAATTTACTATTTGGAAAAAAAAATATGATTTGTTAATATTTATATTAAGCGCGATCAAATCGACAAGAGATATTATAAACAATACAAAATTTGTTCGTATAAGCAAATACAAATTTGCAAATATGAATAATTTGTTTTTATAATTTTATTATGGAAAATTGAATTATAAAAAAAAAATCGCTAAATTCGCAGTAATTGAGAAGTGTGGAAATTTTTACAATTTTGTTTCAATAGACGTCGTCATTCGCGCACATAGTGTTTTTAATTCATTAAATTTTCATTGAATAAATTTGCTTAAAAAAAGCAATATTGCCATTTATTTTTGGCATGCTGTGTGTTAGTAAAATATATACATACATATACTGTTTTTATGGACTCTATCACTGTGAGAGCGTGTTTTTTTTTGTACATTTCAATATTAGAAGGGAAGCACCTACATAAATATTAAATTTATATTAAATTAAAAAAGTAAGACACCGGAAATTTGAGAATATAAATTAGAAATTAGTAATTTTTAGTGAAATTATTGGAACTTTTCTAACACATACAAATTTAGTTATTCAAAATTATTGATTAGACCATAATTGGTATATTTTTTTTATTAAAAATTTAAAATTCTCATAATTATTGTGGTTTTATCGTTTAGGTTTGACAAGGTCTAGTTATCTAATAAAAATATAATAGGAAAAATTATCTGAATAAATACGAACTGGAAAAGTACAAAAGACTAGGTATAACTAGGAGTAGAAATATTAGGTAGAACTTTTGCTTTTCTATTAATTGAATCTAGAAATTCTAGAATTAAATTAATATTATTTTCTGTCAATTTCTATTAATTAACACAAAATAGTACTAAGCAAAAATACGCCCGCTACAAATACTAGGTAATTTTATTTATCTCAAAATAATTTCTTGATTATTTATTACTTCTCAATATACAAACCACGTACTACATCTGGAATAATCTTTAACTTTTCTTTATGAACTTCATATTTGGTTTTGTTTTCCATAAAAGTAGATAATATAAAAATCTTTTGTCGGTTTTCCCTTTTTTTTTTTGTTTTTGACGGTTCCGCTCTTAAATAACGGAAATAAATCACACTTAAGATCAAGAAGTAATACAAAAAATTCTTCATCTTTTTAGAATTTGAGAGGGGGAATAGTACCATATTTCGTTCTAAAACAAAAAAATGGGGTTTTTTAATTATTTTTCCTATAAAGAGATCACAAATACACATTTATTCAAATTTAGAGATAACAAAAATATGTTAAAAATATTCAATATTTACGGTAATGTTTCTGAGTTATTGGTTTTCATCAAAGATCTCAAAAACCATTTTTATAGCATTTGATAGAATTTCACAATAATAAATGTTAATAATAGAGAAGTGGAAATAAATAAAAGAATTGTATTTTTAATTTCTTAAAGTTTTCTCTTTAAAGATTTCTTTAATCTCAAATTACAATTTTTTAATGAACTATTTTCAAATAAGAAAAGAATTCTTCCGGACTTCCACCACTAAAATTTTTCAATTAAAACTTTTCAAATGTATAATTTTTCCGACAGGCGGCGGCACACTGCTACTGCACCCAACTATAAACTTAAAATGAATTGTCATTAAAATTGTTGTTTTTTTATTTTGTGTAAACTTTCAAATGTTTGGATTCAAATGAAGTTTTATTGTGAAATGTCGGCTTTTTCTTTTTGATTGATTGAAATTTTCACATTATTATTTTTTAACATACAAGCCTTTTAACATATTGTACTTTGATAATATATTTCGTTATGTACAATACTCATATAGCGGCAATTTCAACTTAAACTCAAATTTATTAAGAAATAAACATTTTTAAGTTCTCATTAAAATGGAATAATTATTGATAATTTTCTATTGAAAAATATTTTACCAGCATTGCTCTGTGCTATGCATTTTGTCTGCATTTTTTTTTCTTTTGAATTTAAATGCCAACTTATTGTCAGATGTGCTTTATGTGTTTACATGGTGTTTCAATTGTGAATGGTTTGTGAAATATATAATAATAATCTTGCTATATTTTAGAGAAATTGAAAATATTAGTTACTTTTGACGTATATTTATGTCACTTTTGACATAGAAATTTGTGGGTTTACAAAACAGCCAAGTCTTAAACTTTTGAATTCTATAATGGAGAATTTTGGGATAATTTCATTTATTTTCTTACTTCTCAATTTAATTTTTTTTCCTTTCGTTTTTAGTGAATTTTCTCTTGAAATGTAACTTGCAATGGCACCCTGTATTGACAAAATATTTTTTTTTATATTTTATTTTATTATTGGAAATTTTTCCTTTTTCTTTTTGTTAAAATGAATTGCTAAAATTTGAAAGGTAAATTTTGATTGAAAACGTGAAAGAATTTCTCTTGAAAGTTTATAAAGGTACGAAACGTAATCTGTAGGTGTATTTTATGAATAAAATGTTTAACATTAAATTAAACGTTTAACATAATATTGAAAATTATTTGTTTGTTTGTAAATGTATGTGGAAATACTTAAGGTAGAATTTGTGATCTCTTACAATGGTTAGCAATATTTGAAAATGAAGCACATAGAGGTACGCTATATGTATGTACATATATACACATATGAGTTGGCGTTTAAATTGATTTTGAAAATTTTTGGATAGCATAAAAAAACACTTAAAGTATACAACATGCTCACCTCATACAAATGAATGTGTAATTGAAATCGTGTTCTTTCTTTACAGAGATTTACATTTATAGAGAACGTAAAGAATAACGAAATAAATTAGACTTGATTTCTTTTATATGTAGATCTGCATTTCTTTTAGAAATGTAAAATTTAAATAATTTTTTTGGGGATATTCTAATATTGTTCATTAAACTAGGTCATTAAAATGTTCAATAGAGTTATTAAAAATAGATAAAATTGGGGAATTTTCACAGCGTTGTTACATAGTTCAATAAATGATTGTGTTTAGATTTCAAGTGATAGTTTAATTAAGTAATCAGTTACTTAATGTATTTAAATGAATAAAAATTTTAGGACTTGCTTATTTTAGATAATTCGAGTAATATATGCGAATGCATAAAACTACAATGCGAACTCGACATATTCAGTAACAGTAAGTTTTAAATTTTTAATGATCAAAAACTGGTGTAATTGGCGCTGCTTTTAAGTTTTTTGCCAATTCCTGGAATTCTTTACATTCGGCATTTTTCTAATGGCCTAAAATAATTTTTTTTGTTAAAAGCATAAGCTTAATTTAATTAACTTTTTTATAGTATGTAGACGACATAACGTCGTATTATCTGCACACAATATGTATTGTACCTAAATCTGTTTTTCACCCACATTTTCAACTATAAACAATCACCTAATTTTTCCTGTTATCTACGCACATACACATATTGTTAAAAAAGTTGTTTCCTCTTTAACTTTTCTTGTCACATTTTCCTATTTTCTAATTGTCTAAATTTTCAATTTCTTTGCAATAATGTGGGAGAAGTGAAAGAGGTAAAAACCAATTTATTATTCAATAAAATTCTTACAACTTCCTATTTAATAATTTTAATTTTTTTTTTTATTTAATATGGAAAACAGAAACGAAAAACTGCTTGTACATTGTACGCACATTGTTAAAAATTTGAAAATTATTTTTTTTTCTCTATTTATAATTTTTTTTTGACAGAAACTTTCTGTGAAATTTATACTTTTTTGTCCGTCTGAATCAACACTTGCCAGCTTTCTAAAAAAAACTGTAGAAAAATTACTGAAATTGTGACAGCAAATTGACAAGATCTTCTTTTATTTCTGTTGCTCCCATTGGATGGTTAAAAGTAAAGCAATTTTAATTTTTCCATTTTAGTGAATGTGTTGTTTTCTGTCATTCATTTTCCTCTAATAAAGAAGAGTTCTAATGCCGAATTAGAAATGACATTACTTCAAAAAGTGGAACACAAAATAGACCAAACTGTTGTTAAACCCGAATATAACTAATTAAACTCATCAAATTTATACTTTTACATAATTTTTATTTGATAAGTAAATAAAACTCCTAAAATTTAGAATGAAATTGGAAAATATTCTCAATGTTAAGTAACAGCTTCGTAAGTAAGCTTAACCAAGAAAATTACATAATATTTTCCCCAAAACAAAATTATTAATTGCCAAAACAAATGGGAATACTTTATAGTATTTAAATATATAAGCGTATGTGCAAAAGTCACATTTTGCATGAAATGTCATAACATGTGCATACAAAGTGAAGGTGTAACCACTCACGACTGCAAACACAAATTAATAAATTTATTATAGGTTATGTTATAATATTTTTTAATTACTTGTAAATGATTTTATATTACATACTTGTGTATAAAATATTAGAAATTTTGTTATATGTGCATACATATACGAATCTCCCTACAAGATATGTATATATGCACTCTATACACTTTTAAGACGTTACTTCAATTGCAGAAGCATATGCTTTTTAGAATGATTTGGTATTGTGCCGTGTGCGTATATTTTGAAGTTTACTAGAAAATAGACGCACACATATATATGACTATATACGTTTGGGTACTTACAATTATAATAATATTTGAAGTGACATTTAATATTACGGTGCATTTGTTAAATCATTAATATTCTAAGTGGTTTCCGGTTCCACTTGAAAATTTTTTCAATTTTTATAAAATATCTTTAATATCTAGTACCTATAAATACAAAATTTAATATGTATAAAAGTCTACATGCATATAACAAGAAATAAGGTAAAGAAATTATGAAAAATAGTGAAGTGAGAAAAAGATGGAATAAAGAAGGTGTGCATGAACTATTTTTGTAGAAACATTTTATGGAAGAATGAATATGATGAGCTCGTTGATAGCTGATAGTTTGAAGATTTACGCATTTACGAAGAGAAATTATTGTTGTTTTGAGATTTTTTTTTTTTGGAAGATTCAAAAAAAATAAGAAAAGTGAATAGAAAAAGAAGAAAAATTTTTGAATTTAAAAATTTTTTTTTTGTATAAAATTGACAAAAAAATAAAAGGAAATAAAAAAATCGGAAGTGGAAGTGGTTTGGAGGATTTCATTTTGAATTTTTGCTTATTGCTTTTTTTTTTTTGTAAATTTAAATTTATTTAAAATTTCTAAACACGAATAGTACCTATGTTATTTTGAATAAAATTCTGAAATTATAGAATTTTTGGAAAATGATTATTAACAATAAATTGCAGTAATAGCGTAATACGATAAGAGAAATTTGACTCACTAAGAAAAGGCCATATTTAATTAGGTTATTAACATAATTATTTTATAGTTAAAATAGCCAAACAATCTAAACAATCCATTGTTCCATCCCACCTAGAGAAATGTGGAATTAGAGGCGTGAGGTTGATAAAGAGCAATTTTTTTCGAAATTAAATGCAATTTAATTTTTCAATTACCAAATAGCAATTGGCATAATATTCGCTCATAAGACTGTAATATATGTATTTAAAATTAAAGTGATTTTATCTCCTATATGGCTGTTGATTTGGCAACACTAGCAATAAATATGATTGATCATTAAATTTACTCATTAAATAGGTATTTGTACAAATAATTGTAGTTATGATTGATTTACACGGTATTACGCATTCACCTTTTTATTTTTTTGAAAATTACCATAAATCGGAAATAGAGTTTCCTTTTCAAAAAAAAATAAAAAATTCATAGGTATTTTCTTCTATTTTTAGAACTTTATTCTTTTTCCTAAATTTGATAGTTTATCAAATTGGTGTGGGATTTGAATTGTTCTTGAATATTTTAATAATTTTTTTTTGTACTAAGGTATTTTTCATTTTGAATTTTTTTTTCCCGAAATTTTTCAAAATATTTGACCGTGATTTATATTAAATATATTCTAAAATAGTTAATGAATTCAGAATATCAAGGAAACTTCTCATTTTGTTTGTTTTTTTTTTTCTCTTAAGACGTGACATTCAAAATATAATCAAAAGGTATGAAATTATAGAAAAAGGTGAAAGAAATTTGAGGAAATTATTAATAATTTTTTTTTTCTGTTGTTGTTTTTGGTTTACGTTTCCGTATATAAAAATTTCACCGGATATTGAATAATAGTTGAAGGTTAATTGAAAATTTTTATTTTATTCTACATATATTTTGTAAAATAAATATTTATACAATTTAAAAATTTAGATGATGATGATTAGTTGATTAATGAAGCTTTAAGAAATTAGGTCAATCATTTAGAAATTTATACTTGTATTTTTCTTATAATGAAATTTCATATTTTTAAGTAATATTGCGGGATTTAGAAAATGAATATCTTTTATAAGGTTTAGTTTTTCTGATTTATTTTCGATTTATTTGATTTATTCTTACGAATGCTTATAACAATCTATTTCTTTCACTCTCCTTTACGCAATTAATGTTCAAATTTATATTATTCGTAGTGCGGGATATAATACTTAGCGTAACAGTGAATTGTATTATGCTTTCATATTGTACTGTAATGCTCCAATTTTATTACATTTAACAGAACAGGCTTTAACAAGAGAGTTTGAGTACGAAATGGTATGTGAGAAATTTTTATCATCAGGCTCTCCGTGTTATTTATACATATGCAGTGTTCCCACTCGGTAAAAACAAAATGTATCCAATTTCGAGAAAAAAATGTATCCAAAATGTATCCAACCTCGTAAAATAGCATTATTATAATAAGTCGTCTTATTTTGTACAAATTAACCCATAATTAATATTAATTTGCTTCATTCCACAATATGAGTTTTGTTTTTTGTAGTAAATTCTTTAAGAAATCACATACAACTTCTATTATATTTTAAATGTGAAAGTTAAGGTCAGAAAAAACATATGCATATATGCCTTCTGTAGTTGTTGAACTATGCGGTAAAGACGACTGACCATGAAAACGGACAAATTTTAAAAAATATGTACACCCAATGCATTTTCTATTACATCTAGCTAACATTAAAATATTTTTGGTACGTTCTTGTATAAATGTGCTAAATTTGAATACAGGAAGAGGCAGTTAATAAAGCATCTTTTTTACTTTCTTGTAAAAAATTCGGAAACGTGCTTAGAATAGTCAGCAAATAACATTTATTGAAGATAAAGCAACTTCGCGATTTAATATTAGCAGCATTTCAACTGTTTTGTAATATTTATTTAGTGTTTGAAAAAAAATGTATCCATATTTCAGCAAAATTTTAAAATGTAGCCAATTTCGGCATTTTAGCAGATTTGAGTATCTTTGTATCCAAGTTCAAATTTAAAGCAAAAATGTATCCAAATGGATACAATTGTATCCAAGTGGGAACGCTGTACATATGTCTTGTTATTTACATTATTCACATTGAAAAACAACATGTTAAAGTCTAGAGAACTTGTACTGCAATGATAACTAAAAAAAATAATTCTCTCAGATAACTCTCTTATATAAATTGTAAAGCAAGCAATATATAGAAAATTGGAGAAATAGGTGAATGAATAGCCATAATTATTATATTTAATATGCATAACGTCGCTGAGAGAAAATTAAATTTTGTGTCTTTGATTAATTATTGTTTTTTTTTTTTTAATAAATTCCCTTTATTACAACTGTTTAATGATTAAAAAAATATTTGGCAATCAAGTTTTATCACCTATTCAGCTACATTTAAAATTACTCCGTGATTCACCAAAATATTTTTATTTTTTCGTATTCTAAAATTTTATACTTTGAACATTCAAAATAATCAAAATTAAATTTTTATTATCAAATATTTTTCTTTTGCTATACTGAAAAAATCTAAAACTATTCCCAAAAAAAATTTTTGATGGAATTCTTTTTATGTCCGTGTAAATTAATATCTTTCAAGTTTTATTATAATAAAAAAAAAATTCGTCCTCAAAGGTGTTTTCAAACAATCACAAAATACAAATCATGCCACGCACATATACAAAATGAGCCCAAGAGATAAAACAAAAAAAAAATTTATATAAAAAAATTTTTTTCACCACTTTGATTAATGTTTTTTGCGTGGGCTATACACAAATTAAAAAACATAAATGTAAAAATAAAGAAAAATAACATAAAGAATAAGAAAACAAGACATTTTTCTTAATCTCTCTTAAAAACATTAATTTCTCATAAATTTATTAACTGGCTACTTATTTTTTATTTACCTAATAAAATTTATTTAGAAAAATATTTAAATAATGTTTTTTAATTTTTTTTTTTTTTATTTTTCTTCTGTATTTTTATTTTTCATTTGTGGTTAAAGATGTTGAAGAACTGTCAGCTAAATTAATGGCTAAATTGGCTAATGTACAAAATATCGAAAATGGAAATTTTATAATTGAAAATCCAATAAGAGATGCAAATGTTCGACCAGTACAAGTACATTGTGTCGTATTAGATAATTTTTTTGGTAAGTTTTAACCTTTTGTTTATAATTTATATACATATTTAAAAATTATGTATGTATGTATTACATATTAAAGTAATTGTAAGTTCAAATTTAAAATAATTTTATATTAATACACAATTCAGCAATTGAAATTCATAAGCTGAATAATGTATTAATCCCGTATTGCTCTAATTTTAAAGTTAGATTAGAGATAATCTTATACTAATTCAAATGGAAAATCTGAAACATTATTTTGCAAATATCATTAAGTTAAATCGTCATAACACAAAAAACTAGAAAATAATATAAAATTTTTAGTTACATTGTTTTCATTAGTGAATATTGAGCAGTAAAGAGAAAAAATTGTCTGCGATATTAGAAGTATAATATTTTGAGTTTCATAAATTATTATCAAAAATAAATCAGTGACGTCATTGCTTCCTAAAATCTATATTTTTATTTAATAATTTTAAAAATTCTTATTATTTCCATTAAATTTAATACTTATTTTATAATTTTACTTTAATAAAAGCATTTAATTGAAATTGAAATTTTAGAGTGACAATTTACTTGTCTAATACAAAGATTTATCATACATACATGTAATACATTCAATTATCATACATTTTTTCGTCTACAAGTTGAAAATACTTGGGTCTCACTATTATGGTCAATCTATGGATAATGTAGGAATACATTAAATTTTTATCCTACGACTATAAAGAAAAATTTAAATAAATTTATTTTAAATAGAAATCAATATAAATAGAATCATAACAGGTACATATAATTTTAATGGTGTCATGACTTATTACATTTTTATATACTCTGAAATATATGTAGCAAATTAACATACTCGTGTATTATGTTTGATTTGAATTGATGTATGACCCGGTAATGATTTTCTATAAATTGTTTCTTATTCCCTTTAGAAAATAATAAAATATTTGTTATTTATTATTTTTATCTATATTTTTATTTATTATATTTAAATGCTAATTTATATATAGCAAATTTACTGTCGTCATGAACTGCAATAATGCTATAAATTGAGGGTCAATGCTGCAAATTATTATGTTAAAATTTTTGATTTGTTTTATGTTGATTGAAATTGAATGTTTTTCATGAGATTCACTTTCTTGTTTATTATAAAAGATTTCATGAAAAATATAAATTTTTTAAAATTGTTATGGCATGGAAGAAATGAAGTTCGTTTAATTGGGAAGAGAGGTTCATTTGTTTGTAAATTTTGAAGCTTTATGTCAAAATTTAAGTTTTCAATTTCTTTTCTCAAAATAGAATCGTCGCAGAGATGGATTGATTAATAATTGCATTATTTTGTACTTGTTAATAATTATTATAAGTTTAGTAATTAAGGTCAATTACTATAGAAGAAATAGTTACGAAATTTTTGAAATTGCTGATTGTGTGTTTGCGAAATTGTTTCGAATTTTCGATAAAACAGAAATTTCAAGAGAATTAATAACGAGATTAGCTTCGCATTCTCGTTATAATTCTCTTCGCAAGATAAATAAACGAAATTTCAAATTTTTAATATCATTTGAATATTATTGGTATAATACGGAAGAATTTTATGAGTACATTCAATTTTATTTATTCCTGTCAATTTACAAAAACTTTTTTTTCTTAACTTTTTCTGTTTTCATTGTAATTTACTCATAATCCACGAATGTGATATTAAAATGAAATTCGATTGAAATTTGAAGGATTCTCTTTTCTTACACTTACATACATATATACAATGTACATAAGAATTTAAGCAAATTTTAAGATTTCTTATAAAGACCAGACAGATATCAGACTGAATACATATACATGCATCTACATCAGTTTCTTTTTTATTAATGAAATTAATTTAATTATGTATGTTGATCACGTATTTTAATCGAGTATGTTAAATAACATTAAATAACATTAAAAACTTATGCAGGATATTGAATATTAAATTAAAAAATTTTTAAAGAATATACGTAAAATTTTAAGAATTCAAGTTAAAACTCTTGAGGATTTTAAACTCTTAGTTTAATATAATATTAGCTTTTATAAATATATCTATATGCAAAACTGATGTAGATTATTAAGAGCGAAGTAATAGTAAAATTTTATTTTCATTCTTTATTATCCAAAGCCACGAAGGATTTTGTCTTTTATCATTAATTTCTTATGCTTTTTATATTGAGAGTGTTATACAATTGATTTTTTTTTTAAGAAAAATATAATTGCATAATCACAACACTATTTGAGCCCTAAAAATCTCAATACATTATGTTCTTTAAGGTCTTTTATACAGCTTTATACAGTTTCTATTTCTCTCGATTAAACAAGCAAGAGGATATTACGTGTTTTTCTTTCTATATAAGTGCAATTGCAAAAGAATAAAATGCATTAAATTTGATTATACGGTTTCATTACTTTGGGTAATAAATATTTTTAAAGTATAATTGGCGTTAATAATTGAAAATATTTTAATATTCAAAAATTGTTGTTGAAATTTATATACACATATGCTTTAAATATCGATTTCCTATAAATATATTTTAATAAAATTGATAAATTGTTTTTTGAGAAAAAAATAATTATAAATTGTTATTTTTTACATATTGTTTGAGTCGAAATGAAATTTTACTGTAGGAAATTGAGGAAGAAATTGCTTAAAATTATGAGGAATTGTTTAAAAAATTAAGAATTTTTAAAATATTTGTGATTAAGAACATATATATATATATATATATTTTTAAACAAATTTTCTCGTACATTTAAACTCATTAGCTAGGATATCCGCCTTAGGATCTGTTCTAAAATTCAAAGTTTGTTCAATAATATTTACATTGGTCATTACATGATTACATAAGTGATTAAGTGATTATTAAAATTTTAAAATTAAATTAAGTCAATAGTATAATAATTTAATAAATAATTCAAAAACAATTAAATAATTTTTTCTTTATTTTTTTATTACAGCTGAAAAAAATCATATTGGTTTACAACATCCTGGTAATTTATATATCGAAGAAACGAATACAAAATAGTTTATTATATAAGTGTATATACTTACACATACAATCGTATATATAATAAGAATTATTATCATTAATATAATGATTTAGATTAAAAACAAGTAAAAAACGATTAATTTTATTTTTATATATATACATACAAACGTACCTATAAAAATAAGTAAAATTATGTTATAACTGTATTGTATTATACATATATAAGAGACTATTTAAAACTAAATTTTAAAAATATTAAAATTATAAATTCTTAGAAATTTTCGAATTGTTTTGAAAAGTTTATTCAAGAATTAATCGACCATAATTATTAAATGTATAGTTTATTTTTATTTAATTTTGTAATTTTTAAGAAAATCTCTTTGATTTCACTGAAATATACATAAGGCATTTTCATAAACGCAGTATGCCAAAATGTAGTGGAGGCTGAAAATATAGCGAAAATATATAGTGCTATGTTTGTGTTCATACACAAAAAATGTTGCTAACATGACTAAATTTTTGAAATATAATAGCAAAATTATTATTTGTAGCACATTTAAATCATATGAATTGTTCTGATTTTGTAGAACACTTGAAAATATATTGCATATTTATCAGATTATGTTTTTGCAGTTATTGTTTTGCAGTATTGCGTTCATAAAAATCTCTATAAGAGCATGTTCTAAAATGAAAATTTATTGTCAACTTGACTATTTTAATATGAATACAATTTTAATTCCTGATGAATAAAGTACAGTTGGCAAATTAATTTTACATTTGGGTAAATATGCCTTCTTAATTTTTAGATAAATTTATAAGATCATTAAATTCATTTAAGGAACGAACGAATATAATACATAATTTGAATATGATATCTATTTTATTCAAATATATTAATGATATAAATAGTTTTAAAATAGATACAAAATTTATAACATATAAAACGAATATACTGCTTTGGTAAATGCGTTCTCTGAGCAGTATAATTTAAATTCAAATTTTTAATTTTTTAAAAATATCACATATTATATAGAATTATGAAGCTAAAATCGTTTTACAACAATTCAAAATTAAAAATACTTAAAATTTCGTTATTTAATTAATGTAAACTTTATATTAATTAACAGTATTTATATCATAAATTTAGTATTTGGAAAAAATTTAGTACTGTTCATCTAGTATACTCATATTGTATAACAGCCATAAATATGTTATTTTGAGCAAAATTCATATTTAATTTTTAATTTAAAATTATATATGCAATTATATATTTTGTTTACATTATAAAAACTAAATATTATAAATAATTTCAGAATATTTAATTAATAAAGTAATAATTATTAACAATGAAATTATTTATGAATTTTATGTATGTTTATGTAAATATTAAAAAAAATACACAAAAATTAAAATTTGTGTACTAAAAGTTAACTATATTTTGTACTATTATTAATTAGATAAGATTATACTAAAAAAAAACTGTTATACAGCTTAATATATTGTCGGTATATATACATAATAAAAATTTTAAAGAAATTTTTATTAAAAAATTTATGTAAATAAAATTTTTTTTTTTTTATATTTTGATAAAATTATAATAAATTAATATATTATAATTATTAAAGTAAAATTGAAAATTAACATTATTGTTTAAAAATATATGAAAAATAAAATCAATTATAAGAATTTAAAATTGTATAAAAATTTCTTTTTGATTTTAAATTTACAGGCTATTTAGATTTTAATAAACAAATTCTTTCTAATACAATTCTTACAGATCCAAGATTTGAACTATTTGAATTTATTTGATAGCCTTACATTTTTCACAAAACTTTAAATTTCTGGTATTTGAAAATTAAACATCTGGTATTGGAAAATTTAAAATATGCAAAGTTTATTATACGAGTATGTAATACGTATACCTATATTTTTAATTTATAATTGATCATGTATAGCTTTTAGCTTCTAATTTGAGCATATTAATTTGTATTACTATTGATACTCTTGCGAAGAATTTGGTAGTTTCGGTAGACCAATTTAGTTAAGATATAACAATTACAGTTGAGTAAATAATGATCAAGCTAGTTAAATGATGTCTCAACTCTCAATAATCAATTTTAAATATAATTTCTCATTTGTGAAATACGAAAATGTTAGATACATAATATCAAAATATATATACACAGTTTTTTACTTTATATAACGAATGCTTCATACAGAGAACAACTATCTATTAAACAAATAACTATTTACTATTCATAGTAAAGAATAGTTTGGCAGCATACTATTCTTTATTCTATTTCGTAAATTGGTCATATTAAATCTCTGTATTAAGAAGAAGTTTCATGAGATTTTTGATTGTAAAAAATAAATGTGTATGTACAATTCAAATAACATATTCAAGTAAAAAAATATAATTAATTTTAAGTATACATATTTAAATTAATATGCAAAAACCTAAGTAGAAGCTATAAGTATAAGAAACTTATTTTTATTTTTTTATTAATACAATTGCATGAAGTGCTGGGACATTTCACTATGAAATTCACTATAAAAACAAATCTCATAAACAAATGGCAGATGTGCTGCTCTTAGAAAATTGAATAACAATTATTATTTTTGTATTTATTTACATTATATTTACTTAATTAACATAAATTATATGATCTAGAGCATTCTCAGGCTTAAAATGACAACAGAAATGACCTAAACGTTATTAAGATAATGTGAAAGAGATTTGAAGAGAAAAAAATCTTATTATGTAAGAATCAATTAAGTAGATAAAAAATCTACTTGAATTTTCATTTTTTGTTTTTTTTTTTTTAACTGCAGAATTAAAAATCTTAAGAGTTTTTCATATTCTTTTAAAATATTTTATGCAATGCATTTAAATGTAGGGTGGATCAGTTAGAATTTAAGTTTTACGTGTAACGTGTAGGTTTGCTTTGAATTCAATTTTTCGCTATAATCAGTAGCAGTAAGCAATTTTTACTCATATTTCAATAAAAATATAGAATTAGATGTAATTACCTAAAATTATGAATAATGCTTGATATAGTGTAATAATACCGATTTAATTTCTTACTCTTCCCTTAATCAGAGAAAACGTATCGCATGGCTTTTCACACTTTAATTAGAACAGGACTTGGAGATTACCCTATCGGCTACTCTTAAATCGACCTCGATTTTTTTCAAAATTGCGATAATGTTGATATTGAAACCAACCCATATCTCTTATAAATTTTTGTAACCACGCACAAGAAGCACCAGATAATTCAACATTTTAAAATTATTACAATTGTCCACTCTAATTAAATAGAATAATCTCCCGTCTTGTAAAATTTTGCAAAATATTTTAAGTTTTTACTAAAACTTTTTCATATTGTGTACTGGAAATATTTTTCATGGAAATTCTCAAATTAAAAATAATTAAATATAATTGACTTTGATCTTTTTCTTTTTTTTTTGTTCTCATTGTTTTTTTTTCTTCTCATTTTTACAGAAAAGTCAATTGTATAAACTGTAATAAATCCAGAATATTCGTATGTGCAGTGAAAATGTAAACAAAAAAAAAGTAGATGGTATGCACTTTATTTAAAATATTATAAAGGTACTCTTATAAATCATGAAGACATAAAATAATAATTACATATATAAAGAATAAGATGTCTAGATTTAGTGTATAATACTTATGTACTTAAGATGAGAATATTTAAAATTTAAAAAATAAACATAATTTTATATATGTATACACTTTGCGTTTATACTACTTTGGAATATAAGAGATGCGTTTATTGAACGCTTAATAGTAATTGAGTTTTTGTAGTTATTTTATATCAGATTTTTGATTTTATTAAGAGAATTTAATATAAAGATATTAAACACTTGAAAATATTTTTAAGTAATTTCATTGACTTTATTATGAGATGGTCATTATTATATTATGTATTATGCATTTGCAATTAATTTATTAACTTGAAATTTTTCTTGCAGATTTTGATCAAGTGCTATATCAGAAAATTTCGATGTTACATTTCAAAAATTTAAAAATTTTTTAGAAAATTAAGAGTACCTACAACATAATATTTTTAAATATACAAAAAACCTTTTGAGTACCTCGTTAATTTTTCGCTTAAAAAGTTGCCGAATAAAAGTATCGTAACGAAAAAAAAAGCAAGCAAGTAAGTTATTCAATGGAAAACAAATATATGAAATCAAAAACGTGACAATTATTTTAAATTACATATTAAAAAAAAAAAATATTAAATTTTTTTCATTTTATGAACCCCAAAAATGGACAAAAAAATCATATAACATTTAAATAAAACCAATAATTTAAGGCATGTTCAAATATGCTTTTAAATATGTTAATGAAATGGAATTTTTTAAAGTGCCAAACTGATGAATGGTTTAATCAAAAAGAAAAATATGTAGGTACACATTGTATAAATATTATTTTCATAGATCATTGAAATTATTGGAAATTTATTTTAGGAATTTGACTGTAATTGAATATGTTTCTGAAAATTATTGCAATTAATTTGAAATAATGCAATCCTGAAATTGAAAGAAGATTATAAAATTTAGGGACAGATAAAATGTGAAAAAAGCCATTTAAAATAAAAAATAGATCCCGTGGAATAGATTACAGGGATTCAGGTCTGCATTTTTGACTTCAACGTTGACGTGGATAATATATGAAAAATTTTCAAATTTGAGAATTCTAATTTGGTATGCCAAAAATATTACAAAGGATTTGGAGTATCAAATATTTGAATAAAGTTTTTCTAAAATTATTTTTTATTTTAAGTCTTGCTGCTCGTTAAATACACATAACTACTCAAATATTAGAAGTAAATGAGAATAATTTCCAAAAATTAGATGAAAAAGAAATTCAATACAGATACATGAGCTAACTATGACTGATAATTAAATAGACTACAATGAGCTAACAATCTAAAAATAAGATTGGAAATAAAATGACTTGATTCGTGTCGAAAACTTTATATCGGGTTTCCATTTCTATTTTATAAAATATTACCATGCACGTCGCTTTTCTTATAAACATACATACGTATATCCATATGTAAAGTAAAAGACAAAAAGTCGCAAAAATTTTATTTAAAATTTGTTTAAAATTTTGATCACGTTTAATGAAAACTTTTAATTTGGGTTAGAAATTGAATGTGTTATCTATGAAAGTCCTAGAATAATTGAAAAAAAAAAAAAATTTTTTTATTTAGTTAATCACATTTTTATTGTGACTTGTCGCAATTATAATGTTACATAAATTCCAAAAAAAATTGTTTAAATTAGAAACTTATTGAATATGGGTGCAACATTTTTGCGCTGAATAATCAAAGTGTATGTACCTACATAATATCTCAAATTTGTCTTTATGTTAATTTTTTTTTAAATTTAATGATTATAAGTTAAAAATTGAAATTAATTTAAGTATATTCCCAATTTTTAATTCCCAACTTGTTAGTACCGCATATAATTTTTAATTTAAATTTAAATACTTATGATTGGTTGTTTTTAGTTTACTTTGAAATCAGTATAAAAAATAAAAGCTCAGAGGATATTAGCGATACTCTACAACTCACGATGGCTGCAGGACGTAAGTCCTGTATTTTTACGTATTCGTAAGATGTAGTTTATCTATCCATTAAACATACATTTATAAAGGTACAGCCAGATAAGGGAAGCATTCAAAAATAATTAGAAGTAAATACTTAAAAAAGAACCCTAAAGTAAGTAATTTAAGCCAACTTTTCTCTATTAAACTTATAAATTGCAATAGTGTAAATCTAAAAATAATTTTACAAGGCTAGGTATATACATATGTAGATATATTGGTTGTGAATAATATGCCTGTATACATATTGGAATATCTACGTAATTCTATTTTTGGAATTGTAAATAAGAAACAAAAAGGTTGTGCAAGCAAAACTGACATGCATTCAATTTTTACGTTATTTGTATATTATTTATTAGATATTTTTGCATGTGCCATTTCAGATGAGGCAGTTTTAAAACAGATGTATCTTATATACATCTTTAAATATAAAAATGAAAGATAACTGAACATTTTTTTTCCTAAAAAACACATGTTTGGTTATGATTTTAATTTTATATTTTTTTAAATATAAATGATTTGTGTTAAAAATACTAGATTTGAATGCCTTGATGTGCTCATATAAGCAATAATGTAAAATTTCTTTCTGGTTAATACTTAAATAAAAATTTCGAACCAAATGCGTTGGATGAAATTGATTTTAAAAAATAAATGCATATTGAAGTGGTATTATTCAAATAGCAGCCGTGAAATAATTTATTTAAATTGCATACATTTCGGATAAAGCTTTCTCATTTTGATCACAGGAATTTTTTCATTTTATTATTATACCTTGGCTCTTGTAATGGTTTAATTAATAGATGAGACACAATAAAATTTTCAGGTAATAAAATTCAAATTTTATAATTAAATTTCAATAAATATGAAATAGTTGAAATGATCTGACCCAAATTGTTAATCATTTTAAAAGTATTACAAATAGCTTCTACGTTCTAAAACTTTTCAACTGGAATTAGGTACTTATTTATAGACTGCAATACAATCCATTAAGATTAATGCAAATCAAATCACGTTTATAAAATTTCGTACAGGCAAATAATAACCATTTTATTTTAAACATTTTCTTCTTCTATTTTACTTAAATTAAAACTGTTTATTTTTGTAACCACTTTTCTTTTTTTTTATTCAGGACGAACATTCTTTCAATTATGAAGTACATAAAAATATTTATTAATAGAATGGAATGATATTTAGTGGATTATTTTTTCTTTTTCTTAGAATCATCTGAATTAGTTTGATTTTCGTAACGTGGCTTTTGCCAGTTCAATGGTTTCCGCCTATAAATTGGCCATGGTGGAATTGTCAACTGAAATGGTAATATAAAGTATGCATATAGAATTTTGAAAATACTTAGGGTTTATTTCGATTTTACCAATGATGCTAAAATAAATCCGGCTCCTAGTATATATACTGTTTGTGAAAATTGTTGTATTACAGCACCCCAAATCAAACCAACAATACCGAATAAAGTTATGATGAATCTAGAAAGCTTCTCTGCCTTATGTTGGCCTTCAAAATCCTTTAATAAAATAATTTATTTAAAATAATAAATTAACATTTTATTATTTTTGTTTATATACCATATGTGTTTGAATATTAAACATTTTTGATTTTAGTTACTTATAATAATGACTTTTATTAAGAACAAAGTTTACACATCAGCGTTTAACCAAAAAAAAAAACACTAAAAATTTAAAAGGGGAAATTGACAATTTGTGTGACAGTTTGTCAAATTTTCGTTATTTTCAATGATTAGGTGGGAACGGAATTATTAATTTAGGCGAAACGAAAAATTCTTGACGAAATTCAGATTTATTTTAAAAATTAATACAAATAATTTGTTGAACTTTAACGATTTGAAGAAAAATCATTTTCATTTACTATCAAATTTGTACTAAAATAGTTTAAAAAAATATTTATATGTATCTAAAAATATAATAAATATTCAAAACATTGATAGAAATTTGAAACATGCGAAAAATCAGACAAAACAAGATATTTTTCGATATATGTAATTAAACACGTTCAATAATCTAAAATAATAAAATATCACACAAAATAATAGTAATAAAACAAAAATGAAATTTTTAATTGAGAAATATAGTTAAAAATATTGTGACAGTTTGCCAATGCGAAAATAGGATTCAACGATTGTCAAAAATGACAGTTTGACATTATGAGAAAATTTTTAAATCATATTTTAACGAATGTTTATTGGGCTTAACGAAACTTGTTAAAAAACGTGGAAAAACGAAGTTCTTTCTTTTCCGTCAAAACTTCAAGCAAAATGCAGAAGGTAAAATTTATCTTAAAATAAAATTTTAAAAAGCGGTTTTTAAAATCTATTTAATTTTAAATATTTTAATTGCAGAGAAGAGAACCAACTCACGCTGTTCAAGTGTTCGGTAGAAAGGTAAGAAAAAGTGAATATTGCACAAGTTCGATAATAAGTAAATTGATGCCATTTCTTTAAGGTTAGATTTGGTAAATTTCCCTTTACTGAAGTTAATTAAATTTTAATTCTGTTAAATTAACTATCGATTGGGGGAAAAATCAACTCAACTTACCTTACCAAATGTGTACTAAATCATAGTACATGCTTCATATAAGTTAAACATTTGAAATTTGTGCAAAATTTTCATTTTCTATACAATTTTATAATATAAGATAAACTAATTTAATATTTTTGAATATAGAAAACAGCTACTGCTGTAGCATACTGCAAACGTGGTAAGGGACTTCTCCGTGTCAATGGACGTCCTTTAGATCAAATAGAACCTAAAGTTTTACAATACAAATTGCAGGAACCATTATTATTACTTGGCAAGGTAAGAATATATTAAGGGTTTCTCATTAAATATGTAAAGTTGTAGTTTTCCAGAATGATGAGTATTCTATCCCGAAAATGAATTTTTTATGTAAAATATATAGCACTGATTGCAACTATAATTGCAATTTAAATTTTTACTAAGCTTATATGAAATACGTAATGAAAAATGTATATTTTTTTTTGTAGGAAAAATTCGCCGATGTTGATATTCGTGTAAGAGTAAGCGGTGGTGGTCATGTTGCACAAATATATGCTATCAGACAGGCCATTTCAAAAGCTTTAGTAGCATTCTATCAGAAACGTAAGTATTTTTTTTAATGAGTTAATGCAATATTTGCCCTTTCTATACCAGATTTTCGTGAACTTTCTTAGCAGTTTACGAGCGAAAAATGAAAGGAAGAGAAAAGCTATTGCTACTAAACAATTAATATAGTATTTTTTAAAGCTATATTAGATGTGGTAAATTCAACAAAATAACTTGATTAAACAATGTTTAATTGCAATATAAAATATAAATTAAAAATTACAATCAATTACCTTATTGCTGGATATAATTCATATTCTATGTTACATTTTTCAATTATGTGGACAAAAAATGCTTTAGCTATTCATTTTTTTCAAATGAGATCTCCAGGTTTTGCAAATCGTGATTGACATACAACTCGATTGTAAAAACCGCTTGCAAGCTTAAAAAAAATAGATGTACTACAACCTACCTACAACTAAATTGAGAAATTTTGAAATATGAACACGCATAAGGCGTTACTCGAAGTAATATGTTATTATCCAAAAATGATGCTTTCAATTTAGAATCTCAAATTTAAATGTCGATTTGCAAATTGATGGAAATATAATAGCTTTTCTCTTAAATTTTTTTTCTACGACCGTTTCTTTACAAAATTACTGGGTATTATGAAGAAGGGCTATAGTGAATTTTTTAATAAACGCATAAAGGAAATTTTATTAACTGTTAAAATACAGTTTCTCTGTTAAAATACTGTAATTGTTGAAGAATTTTTCGTGTATAAAAAAAACCTTCTCCAGATTTTTGTTATGGGAATATACCCATTTCGAAAGATAAATGAAGGAAGAAAAATGAAACATCTTACCAACCAAGCTTACAAATATGTCTGATTTGGGTGAAGATTGTTCGACAATTATTTATGTTTCAAAAATTTTCTTAAAAAGAAATTACAAACAAACTTTATCTTTTACTATTTAAATAAAGATTAAAATTTTTCTTTTAAAAATTTCAGATGTAGATGAAGCTTCCAAAAAGGAAATTAAAGATATTTTAATTCAATATGACAGAACGTTATTAGTTGGTGATCCACGTCGTTGTGAACCAAAGAAATTTGGAGGTCCAGGTGCACGTGCCCGCTACCAAAAATCATACCGTTAAAATTCTATTCCATATTGTATGTTTTTAATTGTATCGTTATTTAAGACCCTAAAAAACGATAAAAAACAATAAATATTTCTAAGAAAAAGAAAATATTTTTTAATTTAGCGAAAACAAAAAAAAAAAAAAACTATATTTTACCACTAAATACATTATGTATGTACATATATGAAATTTTTTTGGATTATGTTCATATTACCATTCATCAAAATTTTTAATTCTAATAAAAGAAGAAACTGCTTTCTCATAATGTAATCTTTGAGTATTAAAATTGTTAGATATTTTAATTAAAACATTTTTGATTAATAAAAGTTAAGACATTTTATTAAAAGTTAAGACATTTAAAATGGAGTATTTATGTCCTGTGCACATATTTTAAGACTATGTTTTGGCAAGTCTTAAATTGCATACATAATTGATTTGCTATTATATTTTATTTTATTTCATTATGTCTGCAGATAACTGATGTACCTACCCATCTACCCACCTTCATTTTATTTTACATAAATGCATTGCAGATTTTTTCGTACTTAAAAATCCTTTTCCTTAGAGAAGTACATTGGTAGTATATGAAAGATTTAATTATCCCTATTTTAGTTTTTATTAGATTAATTGCCCTAATTATTGTAAGACTCAAAAGTTAATTTCAAATTTAATTCTTATTTACTTTTTAAATTTACAAAATTTTTAAAATAATAAATTTTGATCCAGCTATTAAACAAAATTTTGCATTATAAAATTTTTGCATAAAATTAAAGAAATAAATGCTAAGATAAATTCATTAAAATAAACGATACCTTTAAGTTTTTATTTCAGAAACAATAAGCTGCTGAAAATCTGCATATATACTAAGTTAATTTTAATACATATGTAATAATCTTGTAATGTTTGACTATGTAGAAGCCTACATACATAATAACCTTATAAATGATCATATACGTGCAAGAGTATATCTACAGTATATATGAGTATATATATGTATATAAATCTATACCCATGTTTATATATGAAACAGGCATAATATTTCTTTAAAATTGATCGTATTTAAAAAAACCTTTTTATCATAAGTAAGTATTTTTTTCCCTTCTCATAGCAATTAAAAAAAATGTTGCGGCGACGAAGAGCGGGTGTTGAAATTTTGTAAGCGTGAGAAAAATTTTGAGTATTATCGATTTTAAATAATTTTTAATTAGGTTCACAGTATAAATAGGAAGCAAAAGAACTTATAAAATTTCTATAAAAATATTATGAAACCCATACTAATCCCGAAAGTCCAATAAGAATCTAAAATGAAAAAAATATTTTCTTTTCTTATTAAAAATGTTAAATGTATACGCTTGACATAATATGCCTTAAGAAAAAAAAACTAATTAACCAAGAATATAATATTATAGTTTGTATGTATAATGTTGAAAGGGACCCAGCTCATGCTTTGGTATTATATCTTCTTTTTTTTTTGTTATTGCACAAATGAGAACAAATTTGAATTTTTTTCCCAATTTCTTTTTTACCACTTCAACAATTTTAAATACAAGAGATCAAACAAACGAGATTGGATGATTGATCAACGCCTTTTATGTTATAAAAAATAGAGAAAAAAAAATATAAGAATTTTTTAAACTGACCAGAAAACACAAAAGAATTAGAAAACAAAAAAAAATATGCCTATGTCATCATCATGATCAACATAATCATCCGCTTATAACAACGTCATTCGGTTCGATATGAATAAGGCATGAATTATAATCAGTCTACATTTTATTTATCCATCATCATAAGATCCCCATATCGATCATCAATAATTATGTTTTTTCTTTTTTATTCCTTAATGTTTCTTTTCCTCTTCTTATATAATTTTTTTCGTTTTAATTAACAATAGGCATTAATTATCAATTTATGTAGATGTAATTATCTGTAAATTTCTACCAGGTTTTCAGATATTTTAAGAAGACAAAAATATTATTAAATCACAATAAGTTGGAAATATGATGATCATCATTAATTTTCTTAAAAGAATCTTTTAAATGATTATAAAAAAATACCTATAAAGATCTTCTATACAGTAACAGGTGTTTCGTATTATTCCGATAAACCATATAACTATCCTATACAAATATAACATACAAATGGATACATAGACATTTATTTCAAACTGTAGCTATCTTATGCATTTTGAAAGCAACAAGAGTATGTTTAGATATACCAATAGATATTGCAGTATCATTATTATGTGATCTACTGTTCTAATATCATCATAATCATCTCTAAAATATGCTCTTGCATATTTAAGACAATTATATTTTGTATGGACATAATAGAATAGATGATAATGTTCACTCACCTTTTCGCTCTCACACACACTTCATTATCTTTTTCGATGAAGATAGAAAACTCAATTCTTGTTCTTCTGTTTTTTGCATCATTAGATAATATGAAAATATTTAGCATTAAAATATATCATTATAAATTCACGTTATGTGAGATATGTGCATGCAAGTTCCGATAATGAAATTAAAAAAAAAAAAGATTCTAAAAATAGAAAATGCGTTTGCTTGAATTCATTTCAGCGGGAGATCAAAAATTTTGTAATGCGATATTTTTTGAGTAACAATTAAAATTGAAAAATTTTTAATTTTTAATTTGTATAAAGCTGCTCTTTTTGAGTTTTTAAAAAAAAAATTAATTAACAAGGGTCGCGAATAAAAATATAGGGCTATTAAAAATTAGTTAAGTTCATAATTTGCAAAAAACCGTAAGTTGGCCGTTGTAAAAACTATTAAAAAATTTTATAATATTAAAATGGCAGTACTTTAAATCCATCAACTTAAATAAATTGCACTCTTTCAATCATTCCAACTAATAATATTCTAATATGTCGAGGTTCTAATATGCCGCCCATAAAGTGTAATAATTTTTAAATAACTAATTAAAAAATAAAAATTATTTAATATTAATAACATTTTTTTCAATTAATCAAAAATTCTTAAAAATGTTATTCAACAACTAGTGTTTACATTAAAAAATTCATGTACGTACATACATATATTTAATTCAAGAACTAAATGTTCTAGAAAATTTTGTTCTAATTCTTCTGTATCCAATCTGTATCGTCTTTTCTGTATCTTCTGTATCGTCTTTTTTCTCGATTTGAGTGGTAGAAAATTAGACTAATTATTTTCATTGACAAGTAAAAATTGAGAATACCCCTATATTGTATACCCCTAAATTTGACCCTGCTATATTTTGTTATACAGTATTACCTCAACAGTAGAAGCAAAGCAATACGAGTAAAACTTGATTTCAACCCAATATTTATAATAATGCGTAAAATACAAGTGTGTAGGTAAAAAAAAATTTCCTTAATATTTTTGTTGACTGATTCAATTAGATTTTGATTGAAGGCGTAAAAAAAAAAATGAAAAGTTATTATTTTGTACATATTGTGTTTACTTAATCAAAAATTCTATCCATTGTAAACTACTTAAGGTACATTCTAATTGAATTTAAAAGTGAATCAAAAAAAAAATATTTTGATTGAAAAATTAAAAAGTAATTTAAAATTACTTTAAAATCGGTCAAGTTAATAATCACAATATAAAAGATCATGTAAATTAGGATAATATCAATGAACATTTATAAATGTAGCCACACCACACAGTCACTGTTATGTTAATAATGAATTACTCATTGGTATTTGAATGGATTTTGATTTTTAAATTGAAAATGTTATTTTGAAAAACGGAGCGAAAGGAAAAATTATGAAAAAGCTCAATTTTTTTTTTTCAGTACGGGGTATGTGAGCGAACAATAATAACGCGCTTCTCAATTTAATGTTTAAATGCGATGAGAACAGAAGAAATTTTCATTCACAAAAATTAATTTATTTCCTTTTTATATTTTTGTGCAAGTTTTGTGCTTATTATACCTAGCAATAGTTAAACGGAAAAGTTCAGTAAACTTTTCATAAGAGTAAATTATAAATATGTATGCGTGTGTGTATGTGTAAGTAGTATGAGAATATACATGGCCCATGGGGATATAAGCGTACTAATTTGTTTATTTTATTTTCACACTTGTGTAATTAATTACAAAATAATATTTACGCTATAGCCATAATTTTGTATTCTAGCAAGTAATTAACTATTCTCTTTTCTTTCGAAATTTGAAAAATTAATTAAAATAATTTTTTAGACTAATTACTAATATAAGTCCTAATTTTTTAGAATTATATAGGATTTGTTAATATATAAAATTTCTTGGAAGACATTGCTTTAAGTATTGGTCGATTCTCTAACTTCAAAATCGCTAAGGTAATAAGGTTTGCGAGTTTTATTCGCTGAATCATGTGACTATAATACTGCAGAATGGAACTGCAATAATACTCTTTTAGAATTCAAAATTCATATCTGATGTTTGAAAATTATATGAAAAAGTTAAATTTAATTTTAAGGGCAAAAAGTTTTTAAAAATGTGTGAAATTTCTAATACTCAAACCCAGTTAATCTCTGAAAAAAGCTCCTCAGCTAGACACATATTCGAATAAGAGAAACTCTAATACATGAAAAAATATTTCATTGCTAAGTAATGAGAAATGTGTATGGAATTTGTATAACGTATGAGATAAAAATGTTGAGCAATTTATAGAGTCTAAACTCAAAATTGTAGTAATACCGTTTTAATACACACTTCGGTTTATGAGTTGTAGCTGAACATAAGGCTGCTGAACATTATACAATTTCAAAGTTGGAGATAGCGACTTTAGCAAGATTATTTATTTAAGATTTTTAACTCAATTTTATACTTAAAAAATATACGATTTTCAATTTCTGAATTGAGGTTATCTTTTTTAATATTAATTAAAAATTCTCTATATAACAAAAAAAAAAACCTACATTTATTCTACAATTACATCATATAGAATAATAAGATTCTATTTTAATTTAAAAATTACCTCAATTTAATTTTACTTAAATCTTTTCAATATATAAATTTAAATTTTATGCCCTCGTTCTATACATAGATAGCCATAAACCATATTATTGATTAAATAAAAATCAATTTCTTAATTAAATATTGGAGCAAAGAAGATTTGT